ACTGCATATGCTACAGAGGCAGCTTAGTATTGCTTTTTGAGGAGGGCTTCTAGTGCAGTTTTTCTTAGGTGGGTGAGCTGATGGTATTGGCTGACTAGATGCCTTCCAGTTGCATTTGGGACAAAGATGTGTCTGTCAGGCAGCAACCATCATTTTTGTTTTTAGTTAGGGTGCCTCCTTCAGCCATGGCCTAGTCTTTCTCTTTTTCAGTGTACTTGGGTGGAGGGGCCTCCACTGGGGACATTAGGGCCGTGGTGAGGGAAGGAGCTTTATCTGTTTTTATCGGCTGCTGTTTTAGCTGCCTTATCTGCCAGCTCGTTCCCCTGTATTATAGAGTTGTTTTCTTTTTGGTGTTCTTTGCAATGCAGAATTGCTACTTTTTCTAGGAGCCAGGCAGCCTTGAGGAGTTTTAGTATTGTGCCAGCTGAGAGATGGAGAGGAATCGGAGTCCCTGTGTGTTTAAGAGGGACACAACAGTGTGAGGGAACTTGACATTTATTTTTTTTGTCCCAGAGTAAGTTTATCTGCTTTTTTAATGAATAGAACTGTGGCTGCCAGTGTCCTGAGGCAGGGTGGCCATCCTGCCCCATTGGGTTTTAGTTATTTTTTCTAACAGGTATGAAACCAGCCACTGCCAGGGCCTAACAGTTTATGCGAGAACTTCGAGGACTACTTTTTTCATGTATGAAGAGATTGAAGGGCTTTTTTATATCTGGCAGGCCTAGCGCTGGTGCCTGTTCTGAAGCAGCCTTTATTTCCAGGAAGGTGGCTCTTGCCTCTTCTGTCTAGACAGGTGGCTCTTGGTATGGCCCCCCGCCCCCACCCCTAGGAGGCTGTAGAGGGTTTTTGCCATTGCCAAGAATCCAGGAATCCAGATTTTGCAGAACCCAGTGGCCCCCAGGAACTTTTGTATGCCTTTCTTCATCTGGAGCTGGGCTAAGGAGTTAATGACCTTTTTCTTCTTCAGCCCTAGTGCCCTTTCTCCCTGGGTGAGGAGGAAGTTCAAGTACTGGACTTGCTGCTGGCAGATTTGTGCTCTTTTTTATGAGGCTTGGTATCCTGAGTCTGACAGGAGTTGCAGGAGGACCTTTTTGCATAATTTTCCTGGGTGTCACTGGCAAGGAGGAAGTCATCTATGTACTGCAGGAGGGCACAGCACATGGCTTCCCTCAGAAAGCTGGCAAGGTCTGCAGCCAATGCCTCTCCAAAGAAAGTGGATGAGTTCTTGTGCCCTTGCGGAAGGTGTGTCTATGTTAACTGCATCTGCCACAGTATCTGGTTCAGTCCATTCTAAGGCAAACAAGAGCTGGCTTTGGGGGACCAGCCAGAGGCAGAAAAGACATCTTTTAAGTCTAGGCAAATGAACCATTTGGCAGACCCCGGGATCTGGTTGAGGAGGGTATACAGATTTGGGACCACCAAGTGTAAAGAAACAGTCACTCTGTTCATGGCTCACAGGTCTTGAACAGCCTGGTGCCCTCCTCCTGGCTTTTTGACTGGTAGAAGCAGGGTGTTCCAGGGTGACTGACACTCGGTTAGCATGCCTGCCTCTTTGAGTCTGATCAGGTGTTCCTGGATGCCTGCCCTTGCCTCTTGTGAGAGAGGTTACTGCCGCTGTATTTGTGGCTGGGCCCCCGGAGTCAAATTTACAATGACAGGGGCTCGGTTATGAGCAAGCCCATGAGGGGAAGGCAGCTCTGAATTCAGGTGGGCTACTTGAGAGGGTCTGGGCACAGAATAGCCTCCACTCCTCTTCCCTGGGTGTGGTTATTGCCATACGAGGGACCCTGGCTCTTCTTGGCCTGGGTTTAGTTTGAGGCTGGTGCATCCAGTTGGTTCAAAAGTTATTTGGTCTCTGAGCTTTGAGAGTATATCTTGGCTGGGGAACAGGGCACTCGGGCAGGTAGAGAAACTTATGTCGGGCCTTGTGTCCTCCAAGCTCACATTGGCGGGCTTGGCAAAAGTGCTGCTGGACTGCTTATGTCCCAGTGGCTCCAAGAATAGTTGCAGTCTTTTTACTGAAGGGAGTTACAGGGAGGCTGACCACAGAGTATTCTGCCCCTGTGTCAACCATAAAAGTCTTGCGTTGTCCTCCCACTTTCATTCTGACCGTGGGCTCAGGAGGGCCAAGGGTGAGAGAGCCCGGTCCTTGTCAATCTGAGTCTGTTCCTGCCAGGCCAGTGAGCCTTTCCCCATGAGTCTCCTCCCGGTAGCTACCGGGCTTCGGGGCTTTGCCTTGGTTGGGGCATTCATTCTCCCAATGCCCCTTCTCTTCAACAGTAAGCACACTGGTCCCTGGCTAGGGGTGTCCTAGGCTTCCCCCCTCTTGGTGGCTGGCTTTTCTCTGCCTTTTGGTTATCCCTCTTTTTTTTAGGGCGGCTGCCACAAAGTTGGCTTTTTTCTTCACTTTTCTTTCAGCCTCTCTGTTGGTCTGAACTTCTCTGTTTAGATATACTTTGTTAGCAATTTTAATCAGTTGAGTGATATTTATCCCGGCAAAGCTTTCAAGTTTTTGGAGCTTTTGTCTGATGTCTGGGGTGGCTTGAGCTATGAATGAGGTGTTGGCCATTTGTTGGCTCCCTGGTGACTCACGATTGAAGGGAGTGTAGATGTGATAAGCTTCACAGTCTTTCATAATAATCCTCAGGAGACTCTCTTGGTTGTTGAGTGACTGAAGATATTTTGGTCATGTTCATAGGCTTTTTGGACTCAGCCTTTGGGGCTTTGATCCCCTGGAGGAGGGCATCCTGATATCGGTGGATCTGGTGCTGTCCCTCAGGTGGTGAAGTCCCTCTTGGGGTGCTCCTCAGGGATGGTAATTTCAGCCCAGGCACCCCAATCAAAGACCCTGGCTGCCTCCTCTCTTCCATTGTGAACAGGGTGTAGAGAAGCTCTTGGCAGCCTTTCCAGGTCAGCCGATTGGTTTAGCAGAGGTATTTCATGAGATCAACCAGGGCTTGTGGCTTTTCCAATGGGGTGTTGTGTCTTTAACTGAGGAGGTTGGTCGTGGAGAAGGGTTGATAGTAAAGCATGGACTGGCCTGGCTGTATGGTCACGTTTTTATTATGCCTTTCAGGCTTCTGTGTCTTACACTGGCATCTGAAGGGTGCCTGCTCACGGGTGAGGGTACAGTCTGGCTGCTGGTCCAGGGCAGAGTTGGTCCACTGGTTCTGGAGTTGGCGGGGAGGCTGGTGGCAACAGGGTGTCTGGGACAGGGGGGCTGGGTGCTGCCGTCTTGGGGGACATAAGGTAGGGCAATATTGGCTCTTCCTCTGGTTAACCAGCAAGAATTTGTGGAGGCTCAGGTTTCTGTTGATTCTTTACAGGCTTCTTTGTTGAGGCAACTAAGACCCTACCCTGTCCTTGCCTGTTGCAAGCGAATTGCACCCAAGGGGAAGAGTCTGGGCAACTCCTAATCAGGAGTTAAAGTATGGGGACTGATTAGGATGACCTGGATCCCTAGGGATGACCCGTCAGGCTCAGTGGCTTGTTGGGACATCTAGGGTTCCTTCTGGAGGCTACCCTAAAGGTGGGCAATATAGACTCACACAGGGTTTTCAACCTGCCAGGAGTTAATTTTACTCTTAAGTTTTCTGAAAATCCCTTCCTGAAATTCTTGATCATAGTGTCAAGAACTGTGGGTTTACTGTGCCCTGACCCCATGATGTGTCCATGGACGGTGCCACAACAGACAAGGGAGGGGTTCCTCATCTAGAAATGAGACCAGTCAGGTGCCCATCCATTCATGCTTCTCACAGAGACTTTGACCAGCCTTAACTAAGGTGCACCCATATAAGTCCCAGGCCAGGTCAGCCAAAGCTGAATCACTGTTATGTTGTGGCAACCGACCACGAATGCGGATGAGGGCCCACTCAGATTCCATAGCACAGGCCGTGGAATCACAGTTTCAAGTGCGGACTGAATGACTTCAGCTACCCCGCACACTCACTCACACACACTCAGACCAGAGTTTAAACATTTTCCCTCTGGGAATGTCTACCTGTGAGACTTCTAAGAAGTCTCCAGGAGGTGATCAGGCTCCCCTTCCACCCCAACAGGTGGGACTGGCTGGGTCAGGGGCCCCAGGGCCTTACCAGATTCAATGTCAGAACTAGGTCCTCACCTGCCAAGCCTCCTTGAGTCCGGCGGGAACAGCGGAGAGGGGCTGGCCCAGTGCGACCGGGTGGGAGACTGCCATAAGATCAGGCAAGGCGCGCCTTCTCCATTGCGATCTCCTGTTCCACCACTGCCCCGCCGTTGCCCCAAACCAATGGCAACAATAGGCCAGTGTGGTTGGGTATCCCAGTCAGGGAACTAAATGTTACAGAAAATACTGGAAAGCCTGGACTGGATCACTGATGTAAGAACCAAGCGGCACTTGGAGGTCTTGGAGTTTTGAGGTTTATTTTATACCAGGGGCTCAGAGGGGACTAATCTCCCAAGGTCTGAGCCCCGAGCACAAGCACGGGGAGCAATTTATATTATTTTGATATGTGGCATTTCAGCATGCAGGGCAAAAGAGGAGCCTGGAGGAGGGGAGGAGGAAGCTGGGGAGGCTTTGCCAACTGGAGGAAAAAAGCGGTTTGCTGACCTTAATGGCTGTGTTGAATATTTTCCTTATCACTTCTTTTTGAATTTTTAACATAATTGAAAATTTAAAAATATTTATGCTCTTTGTATGTCTCTTTCTCTGTAAGACAAAGTTTCAGCACAGAAAGTACTGTCCTAGATTTATTCTCCTTGTTTCTTGAAGGCAATCCCACAATTTGCCACTGTGATACACAACTTATACATGGACATGAACAGAATGAATGAATGAGTAGATAAATGTTATCATCCATTCTTCAATTTGAACTAGAAAACCAGAGTTTGGGTTTGTTTTAAGAATAAACAGATGCAAGAAGTTTTTCTTTGATGAAAATTTAATAAATAAGACAAAATGCACATTTAGTGAAAAAGATGAACATGTTTTCTAAATTTTAATACAATATACAGGCAAATATTGGTTAAATGAAAATATAAATATAAAATGTATTTAAAGTAAAAAAATAAATATAAACAAGCAAACAATAAATAACAAAAGGGCAGCCTCTCTTAGGGACTGATGCCCCAGGAGCTGAGTATTTTTAACATATTACTGCTTAATAGTATTGACAAAGTATTAGCTGAGTTAATTCAATTAACGCTGTCATTAAAGTTGAAATAAGAGTCTTTTCAAATGACTGATGACATATGTGCAAGGGTGATATGGCCTATTCCTTAGTGAGAATCATTTTAAGAATATCCCAGGTCTCCATCCTTAAGTCCTATCCTTACTTGCAAATTTCTGGATGAAGAGAAGGATCTCATGATTTCCCCTCTGACGATTTCCCAGGCACAGTCACTGTATTTCTTCTCTTTCAGGTAGAGGTGGATTTCCTGGAAGTACCTCTTCACAGCCAGTGCAGGGCCCTCAGTTCCCAGGGCAGATTTCTCCTCTCCCATCACCTGCTCCAAACAGCTGTCCAGGTCTTCCAGCTGCCAATGGAGTCCAGTGCAGAGTCGGTCCAGGAGGGTGGTGTTCCAGGCAGCAGAGGAGCGCTCTGTGTGGAAGAGGCTGAAGATCTGCTGGAGCATCTCGTGGAGGACAGAGATGGCCTGGGCCTCCTGGAACTGGCTGCCACCCACCATCTCCTGGGGGAACCTGAAGTCTTTTCTGTCCCTCAGACAGAGGAAAGGGGAGATTCTCCTCATCCGGCCCAGAAGCACGAAGTTTTTCCTGCTAACCAGCACGTGGTCCTGAGGCAGGTCACAGCCCAGAGATCCGCCGGGGCCATAGCTGGACACCACCAGAGCTGTCAGTAGAGGGAGCAGGAGGGCCATGGGGGAGGCGAGGGTGCTGCTGGCCTGCCTCAGCTGGGCGTCTGGGTGAGCCTGGGACCCTAGGTTCTCTGAGGACATTCTGTCAAGCATGGCTTTTAAATAGGGAACACAACAATTTTCATTTTCCAAACATTTCTCTACACTTGTACTTCCTTTTTTTGTTTTCATTTATGTATTATCCTTATAGTCTAAGAAGATGTCATCAGTCTAAACTCTTAATTGTGCAATATTAGTTTAATTTTCCCAGGAAACTTCAGATGGGCCAGTCCAGATGGATACTTAACAAATGAGGAACATCTTTGCCCTAATTAGAAGGGATGTTGGTCTCCTGTTCCAGGAATGAATTTTAGCTCTGATGCTAGTCTCCATCCTCACCCTCCTTATTTTACATAAGAAGGCGGCTCCCTCATCCCTGAGGGTTTCTGTATTTGTTTAGGGATTTACCAGACCACCTTTGGCAATTAAGCTCTTTAGAACCAAGAACTGGGCTTTATTTACTATTTGATTCACAGCAGAGGCTCTGATTATCGAGTGAGCTTCTCAGGTATTTCTGTTCCTTCTAGAACACATTCCTGCAGTACCACATAGTCGTGCTTCACTGGGGCCACAAGGTCAGGACTAAAACAGACATTGTCCTTTCTTCCACAATTTTATTACTGGAGGTCTGTAGTGCTCCTTAGACTGTGCCAATACCTCCAGCAAGAATCCTGTTTCTTTTTTGGTTCACACAGGTGTGACGATTTTAATTTCCAGATAATTTTATTTTCCCAGCACCACCTCACTCACAAGGTAGTTATCACATCTAGTAACACTCTCTCCCCTAGAGTGTCAGAGTCCTCTCCTTAAATCCTCCTGGACTCACTCCTTGAGGACAGGCTCACTACATCTTGAGGACTTTAGACTCTTTGTTGGCAAAACAAATAATCCCCCTGGACCCTTACCCTTGCCCCTGAAACATTTGTGTGAAGGACCCTAGGTCTCAGTGCTGACCTCCTCTTCTCTTGACCCATGTTCCCAGATCTCAAAAGCATCAACGGCCCTCAGATGCTAGTAGCAGAAGTTTGTTTTGTCTAAGTAGGTGAAGGATTCATCCAATTGTAATCATTTCACCATTGGTAAGTAAATTATTTTGCCAAGTACAGATTTTATTACTCAACTTTTTTACTTAATCTATAGAATACTTGTTATGCTGCAAGCTTCTGAGCTGGGTACATGGGAGGCAATAGTGATGTCTCTCATAAAAGGCTTGTATTAGAGAAACATATATCTTCCATTGTTCACTTAGACAGCAGCTGATTCCATTGGGCTTCTTTGCTCCCCTCTCTCTGTCTCCCTCTGACAATGCAGGGCAGTAAGGCCCTGCATCAGGGAGTAATTGGTCTTCTCTCCTGTACTTGTTTGTGATTTTTCCTTTAGAATTTTGTAACTTCCCTTCACTTAGTGGCTTATTGGGCAAGTTTTGTCTTGCTGCTCCCGCATTGCTGTTCTAACTCATGATGAGGTAAGAACCATAAGGGAAGTAAAAGAAAGGCAAAAGGACTACAATGTTCCTCTGTATAATGTTTAAGACTTCAGGTTTTTTTATTTCTCATTTCAACTTTCCTAGAAAGTAAAATTCAACAGTGAGCACAAAGGAAACAAATGTTCAGTCCAAATGTCATGAAAGTGAAAGAAGGGAAGTTATTTTCTGCTGACAAAATGACATATTCTAAGTTAGCAAGATTCAGTGCAGCAAAACTGGGGACTAGAAGTTGTGGGCAAAGGGGAAGAATGAAGGCCAATACCAATCACACAAAGGCAGGAAAACGGCTGCTTCTGCCAGAAGTGCCAAGAAGACCAACTCCTAGATCCATGGACTGACAGCCTTCAGCTTTGCAAGACCAGACACCTGATTTTTCTTTCACTTAATCCACATGTGGTGAGCTCTGAAGAGAGAAGGAAGAAATCACACTAACCATTCACAAGATACTGGCAACCGGGACCCCAGTTTATAGAACACTAACCATCTCTAGCAGGATTCTATCTAGTTAATAAATACATTCAGGCAATGAAAAGGCTGTTTTGAGAAACCTAGAATTAAAAGAGACAATTAGATGATTCTAAAAGATTCTGATCTTAATCTGGGTAATAGTACTCCACATAGTAATAAATGAATTCTATTGCATGTTAGTTATGGACAAGCCACCATTCTAAGTTCTTTTAAGATATTAACCTAATCCTCTCAACAAAAAACTTACATGCCTATTGTGCAAAACTTAAACACCTAAGTTCAAGAATATGTAAAGGCTACATGCAATATGATTCCAACTGTATGACTGGAAATGGCAAAACTATGGAGGCAGTAAAAAGATCAGTGGTTACCAAGAGGTAGGGGGATGACTAATTGGGGTTCAGAAGATTTTTAGGGCAGTGGTACTTTAGTATTGGTACATGTCACTATCCATTCGTCCAAACCCTAGGATATACAAAACCAAGAATGAACCTAAATGTAAACAATGGACTCTAGGTGATAATGGTGTGTAAATGCTGGTTCATCAGTTGTGGCAAATGTTCCTTCTGGTGGGGGATGGTAACGATGGGTAAGGCTATGGTATGTAGGAGTAAGGATTATGTGGGAATTTTTTATACTTTCTGCTCAATTTTTTTTATGAACCTTAAACTACTCTAACAATAAAGTACATTTTTAAAAATGTAAAATTCTAAAGAAACAGACTTCTTCCAGTATTAGAGTCAGTTGTTTCCAAGAAAGAGACTTTTTTAACACTGGAGAAAAATCTCAAAGTCATAGACTTCTGAAAAGAAGCCAGGTCTCCAGACTTGGTCGCTGTCTTTGCCCATATTAGCCAGTAGGTGGCACTCTTTCCTTTACAAATATTTTAATTGTCCACCAAGATGGATCCTTTCTTTTGTCTTTTTGCTACAGTTACTGTTACATCACTGCAACAGGGACATTCCCTCATTCTAAAAACACTCAGAGGAAGAGAAAAAAAGGGCCTCTCATATGAGAGTCTCTGAAAAATCTAGAACTTTCACTCAACTTTTGCTTTCATTTGGTGACTTTGTACTTAAGAGGAAACTGACAGCCAGAAACTGTAAGGGAAGAGGAAACAGCTGTGTGAATGGGTTTACAGATTAATGGGTAAATGCCGAAAGCACGCTGGGGATTTCTACGGTGGGGAAGAAGGAAACGACTGTGGGATAGGTGAGAGAGAAAGGGATTCAGGCAACAGGGAGGAAGGCTGAAATGTGCCAGGTATCAGAATCAGCAAAGGATGCAGTTTATATATATAATTTGTCAAAGATAAAGTTGAAACTATTTTGTTATACTCAAAAATAAAGGTGAACATACTATTTAAACAAAACTATTTTAGCAATTTTAAATACATAGTATGACTTAGGTAGTAGATGAATGAATATATGAACACATTAGATCCCTTGGCATATTAATCATAGTTTAACTTCCTCATCTGATAATTCCAAAATCTCTACTATATCTGAGTCTAGTTCTGGTGTGTGCTTTATCTCTTCAAACTTTTGCTTTTCACCTTTTACTACGACTTGTAAATTTTTGTTCGAAGCTGGACAGGCTGTACTGGATACAAGGAACTGAGATAAGTGGATCTTTAGGGTGAGGTTTTGTGTTTATCTTGCTAGGAGTTGGACTGTGTTTACTATCGGTGTCAGAAACTAAATGTCCTCTTGTGTTCATTACTTTTTTCTCCTCTCTTGTCTTTGGGTTTCTCTAGAGACTTCTTAAATAAAGCCTGAGACTTGCAATTCTTTTCTGTTGTAATCCCATTATTACACGGAAACCCTATTGATGTGGCCATAGGTATGGGGGAGGGTAAGTGTTCTATAATCCTATGGTTATGTCTGTCTTAGTGATCCTATGCTTCTGGGCAGTGGCCTTTATAAGTGCTTCTCAGCTCTTCTACCACCCTAATAGGCAAGACAGGAAAGTTAGAGGGGTTGGGAGTTGGATACTTCCCTTCTCCCAGGTGGCTTAGACTCTGGTAAAAGTAATTTCCCTTGAGGGAAAGCCTTTGTTAAGGAGAAGAGGACACTCAGGATTTCTAAAGGATTACTTTTCCTCTCCCTCTGCCCAGAAAAAGAGATTCTTCTCTGATCTTCAAGTGAGAACATTGTGGGATTCCTGAAGATAAAATTCACACAAGTGTGAGTCTCCACTAACTCTGGAGCCCTTTCCAGCTCATCCACACAGAGTCTCAAGCAACTCTTCAGTTACAGTTTTAAGTGTTCCTGCCGATATTAGCTCCAGCTGTGGGCTTCTGCTCCAGGTAAGCTGTGATTCTCTGCATTTGCCACTCTCTCCAGTTACCAGGGTGGTGGTTTTCCCTGCTACCTCAAATCTTGATGAACCTAAGGAGATGTTTTCCAGTGGTTTTGCACTTCGTTGTTGTGAGGTTAGGAGTGATGATTTCAAAGCTGGTTATATGTTGAATGAGAAACCAAAAGTTCCCCCAATATGTGAATACATACCCAACATCAGTATAGCTATCTCATAAGGAGTGATGCCCCTCGAGATGATAGTCATTTTAAAACATTTTAACAATTTTGAACAATTTAACTCAATGCATATGACTAAAGGAGAAATAAGTCCTTAAACTAATAATGAAACGCATGGGCATGTGACTTGGTGTATTAGGTAGAGAGTCATTTCCAGGTCCCTTCCCTTTTAAATCTTTCTTGCAAATTCGATGATGAAGAGAAGGATCTCATGATTTCCCCTCTGACAATTTCCCAGGCACAGTCACTGTATTTCTTTTCTTTTCAGGCAGAGGTGGATTTCCTGGATGTACCTCTTCACAGCCAGTGCAAGGTCCTCAGTTCCCAGGGAAGATTCCTCCTCTCCCATCATCTGCATGGTGTCCAGGTCTTCCAGCTGCCGATGGAGTCCAGTGCAGAGTCGGTCCAGGAGGGTGGTGTTCCAGGCAGCAGAGGAGCGCTCTGTGTGGAAGAGGTTGGAGATCTGCTGGAGCATCTCGTGGAGGATAGAGATGGCCTGGGCCTCCTGGAACTAGCCGCCATCCACCATCTCCCAGAGGAGTCATCCTTCCATGGGGAGAACCAAGAGAGCTCATCCCAGAAGCATCAGGTCTGCTTGTGAACCAGTCGATAGCTCTGTGAGGCAGGTCACAGCCCAGATGCTGATGCAGCTAACCACTAGGAGGGTCATCAGAGGGGTGGGCACTGGGGACCTAGGGATGCTGGTAGCTTGGATGAAGTATATGTGAGCCTTGACCCCTAATCTCTCTGAAGTCCTTTCTATACATATCTCTAACAGAACACAGTAATTTAAATTTCTGAATGTTCCTGTCCACTTTTTATCCCATTTCTTTCCTTTACGCTCTAAATAGAAGACATCAACAATTTAAATTCTTTAATTTTACATATAATTTAATATTGCTGTAAGAAACTTCTGATGTTTCAGTATAAGTGGATTCAAATCTTTCAAATGGGGAGTCTTTCTGTTATACTCATATAATAAGTGTTCTTCTTGCTAGAACAAAATTTTACGTCAGATCCTGGGCTTTGTTTTTGCCCTATTTATTTTACATGTCAACTAAACTGTCTTATCCTTCTGGATTGTTCTTCTTGAAAATGGATTTATTAGACCTGTTTGACAAGTAACCTTCTTAGCAGAAAGGTCTGTATGTTGTCCACTATCATATCATTAGCCTAGAGTTCATAGTAATTACTCAAGACATAAGTATTAACGAATAATATTCTCAGATTTTCCATCATACCTCACATCAGAACCTAATATTGAATAATTAATAACTGTCCCTAGACTTATCAGTACACTTCTATGGCACTTGTTGGTTCATTATTCTGTGTCACAGGGAAAATGTGGGACAGTGAGGCCAGCATATGACACTAGAGAAAACTAGCCTTCTTTTCTTTACTAATTTCAGAATCTTTATCATCTTATATGTTCTTTTAAAATATTTGTCTAGGCAATGTTGTCATGCTGCTTCTGAATTATTTTCTATTTCCTATGGAGGTTAACCAAAAGAGGGGAGTAAAAATGAAATGAAAACATAAAGGACCTGTACAGTTATTTTCCATACTTTTTGGAGTATTTTACAACTTTCTTAGGAAGTATTTGGATTCTCTGAAGCAAAAGGAAAAACAAATGCAAATCTGACTGTGATGAAAATGAAACAAGCAAAATGAATCCCCAGGGGAAAAAAATCTCTCATTAAATTCAATCTACTCCAGTATGGCTTCTGCTTGTTAATTTCACCAAACCAGCTCTCACTAAGGTCAATTCCGTCTGTTTCTCCATTTTGTGGATGGTTTCAATTCACAGAGCAGTTCAGAGTCCATAGTACTCATCAAAATAAATAAAAATTATCATTGTAATTAAATATGTCATGATTTAAGATAAAATATTAACATACTAATGTGATTTGTCAATACATCAAATCTATCCAAAGGCAAATGTATTTCAAGAAAGGGAACATAATATGCAAAGAAAAGAAAACCCACATTCTAGTCTAGGCCCTACCCTATTTCTTTCCTCCACTTCAGAAGGCCAATTTTTCAAAATTATTTTCTCTATATATTGTCATTAACTTCTCTTATTCACCATTCCACCTATTTCAATATAGTTTCTCATGATTAATTCTACCAAATCTGCTCTAATAGTTGGCCAATGCAATCTATTTTGTCAAGGTGGTGAGCAGTTTCCATTCACATTCTTTATGAACACAGTGGGTCTTCTAAGCAGTTTATCTTTTAAACATGGCTTTATAACTTTTCTCTCCCATCTTCTTAATATATTATTCTACTAGTTTCCTTCGTGGCTTTCACTCTCTTCTAAGTCTGAAGGTCATAGGAATCAATTTTATGTCCTTTTTTCATTCTATACTCTCTTTCTATGAGACCACTTCTTGTTTCCACTCTTTACAGTTAATGGAACTGCTTGTAAATTGAACTCAACTATCCAATGGACATTGACATTTGGATGTCTACCCCATACAGAAAATATACAGTGTTTCTGTTTTTATATCCTGACATAGCTTGATCCACCTTCTACTCAGAGAATTCTATTTTTTCTCTTCTTCTAATTATAGCATTACATCTAACAGATATTCATTTCTCATATTAATTAGTATTAACTTAGAACGTAAAAAGTATTTAATCATATATTAACTGATTATTGGTTTTAGGTCATTTTTTCCTACAAAAATCAAAGACAGAAGAAAGCAGGGAATGTATTTCTTATGCTCACCTCTATATCCTTGGGGTAACATATGACCTGGCTTACAGGTAAACTATTTTTACTTCTAACTTGAATACAATAATGGTAGCTAAATGAATTGCACCATCTATTCTTTAATCAGGTTGCCCATGCAAGACTGGTGTTTCTTTTTTAAAGAATAAACAAGTACAAGAACTTTTCTATAGTAAAAATTTAATGAATAAAATAATAAATTTACTTAATATAAATAGATTTTGTTACATTAACAACAATGTAAAGGTGCACATATTGCATGAACAAAAATAATTAAAATCTTATATATAGTTAAATAAATAAATCAATATTTAAATAGATAAATAAATCAGCATGGTCATTCAAGCCACTAGCACCTATAGAGTTGAACATGATGTTACTTAATAGTCCTGAAAACATTTGACAAATAGATTCGAGTCATGTCATGATTACAGCAGAAATAAAAGTCTTTTGTCAGGGCAGAATGCAGCGAAGTGGGGTATTATTGGTCAGTGAGAACCATTTCCATGTTGAGCCAGGTCTCCTCCTTCACTACTCAATCTTTCTTACAAGTTCCTTGATCAAGGGAAGGATCTCATGATTTCTGCTCTGACAACCTCCCAGGCACAAGGGCTGTATTTCTTCTCTTGCAGGTAGAGAGTGATTCTTTCGAAGTATCTCCTCACAGCCAGGATGGAGTCGTCCTCATCGGTCCGCGGAGCCTCTTCCGCCCCCACCTCGGGCATCACACAGGCTCTCAGGTCACTCAGCTGCTGATAAAGTCCATTGCAGAATTTGTGTAGGAGGGTCTTATCCCAGGCAGCAGAGGCGCTCTCCGTGCTGAAGAGGCGGAAGGTCTGCTGGATCATCTCGTGGACCACAGAGATGGCTTGAGCCTTCTGCAGCTGGTTGCCATCAAACACCTCCTGGGGGAATCCGAAGTCCTTTCTGTCCCGCAGGCAGGACAAAAGGGAGATTCTCCTCATCTGTTCCAGGAGCGCCAAGGCCCTCCTGTCACCCAGGCTGTGGGTCTCAGGCAGGTCACACGCCAGGGAGCAGATGGAGTTGCAGCTGAGCACCAGCAGGGCCAGCGGGAAGGGAAAGGGCAGGGCCATGGGGATCTTGCAGATGCTGCTGGCCTGGCTGAGGGGGCGACTGTGAGCTGGGCTCTAGGTTCTCTGCGGACCTTCCTTCGTGTGTGTCTTAAATAGGGAACATGCTAAGTTTTCAATTTCTGTATGTGTCCCTTGCTTTCTACTTCTGTTTTTGCTTTCCATTTTGCATTTTCCAAATGGGTTAGAGAGGCATTTCTCAACCTTTTATTTTTTTTCATTATTGTCTCTCTTTCCCCTTCCTCCAGAGACTTTTTAGGTATTTTTTTTTAATTGAACCCCCCATGAAATTTTGATGACACAGTTTTACTGTATATCTAGTTAGGTACTCTCTGTACATCTGTAATTTATATGAAGAAAATGAAAGTGGAAAGTGTAATCTCTTTATCCAACACAGGTTTAAGAATGACAAAGAAATTTAAGATGAAAAATCATTTAAAAGCTAAAAGCAAAAAAGCTGACCATTGAAAATTTAAAATTTCTTGACATGTATTTTTAGATACTTAACTTTTAATTTTGCTTTGTATCAGGAAATAACTTCAGCTGCTATTCATCCAGATATTGTCATTTTTTTGTTTTCAACAATTGACATAATTATTGATGTGTTGAATAACTTTAGTAGAATTAAAAAATAAAACGAACTATTTGCATTTAACTCTCAAAGCCCACCTCACACTCAACAGCACTGAGGCTCAAACATAAGCAGCATCCAAAGAGCCAATGGCATTATATGAGTAACCAAAGACCACCTCTTACCATATGATTTTGAGATCAAGTGAGACATCTATTTACCACGAGTTTCATAGCACTGATCTTGCATACATTGTGTGTGTGTATCTTCTAAGAACTCAGTGTCAATGCCTTTATATGATACATAAGAAAACTCAATGAGAAAAATGAATACTAAGGAATAAAATTTTGTTGCATTTTGAACTTTGGAACATCACAAAACATTGCAATATCAAAGATTTTTTTTGCACCCCCAAGAACTAATAGTCCCACCCTTAGTAGTGATATCATCCCCAATGAAAATAGTTGAGTTAGAAAACATCATCAATTTGAATCTTTCTTTGTAGTTTTGTACTAAATTTAAAATTTCTCAAAAGGACAGGAGGCTTAAAGATGGCGACATGAGAGGTGAGACAGAAACCTCCTCCCAAAACCACATATAATATGAAAATATAGCAAATACAACTAATACCCAGCAATAGGCAAGAAAGCTGTGGCAGACTGCCTACACGTGGGGAACAGAGCAGAGCTCATGGAAAAGGGTAAAGTACCAAAGCCATGATCTGGCGAGACCCAAGCCCTTCCTTACCCCAGCTCACTGGCAGGAGAAAGAGAAACGGAGCAGAGAAGGGGTGGAGGCCTAGGACTACTGAACACACAGCCCTGGAGCTCTGCTACAGGAGCACAAATCTACATTACTTGGTGCTGTGGAGATTAGTGGGGTTGGAAAGCTAACACAGGCAGAATACTTGGAGAGACTGAGATTCCAGCCACCTGTGGAGAACAGGTACCCACAACTGGTCGCTCTGGGACAAAAGGTGGGCACTCTGAGAGACTTCCTAAAAGCAAGAGGGTTGCTAAAGGGGCAAGGATTGCACAGAGCTTGCTGCTCAGGAGAAAGCACAGGTAGAAAAAAATTGTCTCAGTGCTCTCAGCCCAGCAGATTGGGAACTTTCAGGAGCTTCAGGCACTCCATACGCTGCAGGCAACGCAGTAACAAGGACCCAAACACAATATGCAGCCTGCTACTCCTTCCTCCTGGCTAGCACTGGCTCTCAAACTGGCTGCTCCAACCATTGCACCAGACCAGCTAGAGGGCAGCCCTGGCTATGGCAGCTACAAGTGCATAGCACAGAGGCTCCTCCCTGCACATTCGGCCCACTGGCCCTGGCAGTAGAGGCAGGCACTGTAGCTGGGAAGCAGGAAAGAGCTCTTTCTTCCCAGAAGGCATCAGAACCACTCACGTGCAACCCCCAACATCACTCCAAAGGCTCCAGTGGGTAGAGTTTCTGAGCACTAGAGGGCACCACCTACAAATATGAAAAATCAAAGGAATCTGGTTCAAACCAAAATCCCACAAACACCAGAAAGAGGGACAAGTGAAACAGAACTCACCAATCTTCCTAAAAGAGATTTGAAAATAAAAATCATAAACATGCTCAAGGAGCTAGAGAAAAATATATAAGACCTCAGGGAGGAATTCAAGAATGAGATAAAAAACTTTGGAAAATACAGTATTCAAAGTGAAACATACAACCGAAGGATTTAAAAGAAGATTAGATGAAGTAGAGGAGCAGGTTAATGAAACAGAAATTAGAGAAGAGGATTACAAAGAAATTGAGGCACAGAGAGAAAAAAGGATTGCTAGAAATGAAAGAATATTGAGAGAACTGGGTGACCAATCCAAATTAAACAATATTTGTATTATACAGGTACCAGAAGTAGAAAGAGAGAAAAAGGGATAGAAAGTGCCTTTGAAGAGGTAATTGCTGAAAACTACCCCAATCTATGGAAGGAGATAGCCTCTCAGGCCATGGAGGTGCACAGCCCCCAACACAAAGGACCCAGAGAAGACAACACCAAGACATATATTAATTAAAATGGCCAAGATCAAGGATAAGGGCAGACTATTAAAAGCAGCCAGAGAAAGAAAAAAGATCACAAAGGAAAATCCATCAGGCTATCATCAGACTTCTCAACAGAAACCTTATAGGCAAGAAGGGAGTGGCTTGATATATTCAATGCAATGAAACAGAAGGGCCTTGAGCCAAGAATACTCTACCCAGAAAGATTATCATTTACATTTGAAGGAGGGATTAAACAATTTCTAGATAAGCAAAAGCTGAGAGAATTTACCTCCCACAAATCATCTCTACAGTATATTTTGGAGGGATTGCTATAGATGGAAGTGTTCCTAAGGCTAATAGCTGACACCAGAGAAAATAAAACCACAGTAAAGAAATTAGACCAATTAATTACTAGGCAAATGCAAAACTAAATCAACTGCCCCAAAGTCAGTCAAGTGATAGACGAAGAGTACAGAATATGATACATAATATATAAATAACAGAGGAAGAAAAATGAAGAAGAGAAATAACCTTTAATTGTGTTTGCAATAGCATACTAAGTGAGTTAAGTTAGGGCATTAGATAGTAAGGAAGTTACCCTTGAACCTTTGGAAGACACAAAGCCAAAGCCTGCAATGGCAGTAAGTACATACCTATCAATAATCACTGTAAATGTAAATGGTCTGAATGCACCAATCGAAAGACATAGAGTCACCGAATGGATAAAAAAAACAAAACCCGTCTATATGCTGCCTATAAGGGACTCACTTCAAACCCAAAGACATACACAGATTAAAAGCAAAGGGATAGAAAAGGATATGCAACTAATAGGGAGAAAAAGCAGGAGTTGCAGTACTTGTATCAGACAAAACAGACTTCAAAACAAAGAAAGTCACAAGGGACAAGGACATTACATAATGATAAAGGGGTCAGTCCAACAAGAGGATATAACCATTATAAATATCTATGCACCCAACACAGGAACACCTCATATATGAAACAAATACTCGCAGAATTAAAGGGGGAAATAGAATGCAATGCATTCATTTTAGGAGACTTCAACATGCCACTCTCTCCAAAGGACAGATCAACCAGACAGAAAATAAGTAAGGACACAGAGGCACTGAACAATACATTAGAACAGATGGACTTAACAAGACATCTACAGAACATTCCACCCAAAAGTAGCAGTATATACATTCTTCTGAAGTACACATGGACATTTTCAAGCATACATCATATACTAGGCCATAAAAAGAGCCTCAGTAAATTCAGAAGGATTGAAATTGTACCAACCAGCCTCTCAGACCACAAAGGTATGAAACTAGAAATAAATTATGTAAAGAAAACAAAAAAGCCCACAAACACATGGAGGCTTAACAACATTCTCCTAAATAAAAACAAAATCAAAGCAATATATGGAGAAAAATGACAATAACTCAACACAGAAAAATCTGTGGGACTCAGCGAAGACCAGCTAAGAGGGAAGTATATTGCAATACAGGCCTACCTCAGGAAAGAAGAACAATCCCATATGAATAGTCTAAACTCACAACTAATGAAACTAGAAAAAGAATAACAAATGTGGTCCTAAGTCAGTAGAAGGAGGAGGGACATAATAAAGATTAGAGCAGAAATAAATAAAATTGAGAAGAATAAAACAAAGAAAGAATCAAAGAAAAGCAGGAGCTGGTGCTTTGAGAAAATTAACAAAATAGATAAACCCCAACCCAGACTTATCAAGAAGAGAGTCTACACACATAAACAGAATCAGAAGTGGTGAAGGAAAAATCACTACAGACACTACAGAAATACAAAGAATTATGAGAGAATACTATGAGAAACTATATGCTAACAAACTGGATAACCTAGAAGAAATGAACAACTTTCTAGAAAAATACAACCTTCCAAGACTGATCCAAGAAGAAACAGAAAATCTTAATAAACCAATTACTAGCAACAAAATTGAATTGGTAATCAAAAAACTGCCTAAGAACAAAACAACTGGACCAGATGGTTTCGCCACTGAATTCTATCAGACATTTAGTGAAGACCTAACACCCATCCTCCTTAAAGTTTTCCAAAAAGTAGAAGAGGAGAGAATACGCATTCTATGAGGCCAGCACCACTCTAATACCAAAAGCAAAGACACCATAAAAAAAGAAAATTACAAATCAATATCCGTGATGAACATAGATGCAAAAATACTCAACAAAATATTAGCAAACCGAATTCAAAAATACATCAAAAAGATCATCCATCATGATCAAGTGGGATTCATCCCAGGGATGCAAGGATGGTACAACATTCAAAAATCCATCAATATCATTCACTACATCAACAAAAAGAAGGACAAAAACCACATCATCATCTCTATAGATGCTGAAAAAGCATTTGACAAAATTCAACATCCATTCATGATAAAAACTCTCAACAAAATGGGTGTAGAGGGAAAGGACCTCAACATAATAAAGACCATATATGCCAAACCCACAGCCAACATCATACTTAACAGTGAGAAGCTGAAAGCTTTTCCTTTAAGATTGGAACAAGACAAGGATGCCCACTCTCCCCACTTTTATTCAACATAGTACTAGGGGTCCTAGCCAAGGCAGTCAGACAACATAAAGAAAATTAAAGGCATCCAGATTGGTTAGGAAGAAGTTAAAATGGCTTGTTTGCAGATGACATGACATTGTATATAAAAAAAACCCTAAAGAATCCACCCCAAAACTACTAGAACTAAAAGCTAAATTCAGCAAAGTTACGGAATATAAAATTAATACACAGAAATTTGTTGTATTCCTATACAGTAATAATGAACTAGCAGAAAGAGAAATTGAGCAAACAATACCATTCACAATTGCATCAAAAAGAATTAAATACTAGGAATAAACCTAATGAAGGAAGTGAAAGACCTATAACCTGAAAACTACAAGACACTCATGAGAGAAATTAAAGAAGATAGCAATAAATAGAAATACCTCCTGGGCTCATGGATAGGAAGATTTAATATTGTCAAAATGGCCATCCTGCCTAAAGCAATCTACAGATTCAATGCAATCCCTATCAAAATACCAACAGCATACTTCAACAAATCAGAGCAAATAGTTCTAAAATTCATATGGAACTGCAGAAGACTGCAAATAGACAAAGCAATCCTAAGAAGGAAGAATAAAGCTGGGGGGATTATGCTTCCTGACTTTAAGCTCTAGTACAAAGCCACAGTAATCAAAACAATTTGGTACTGGCACAAAAACAGACCCATAGTTCAATGTAACAGCCTAGAGAGCCCAGATATAAACCCAAGCATATACACTCAACTAATATATGAAAAAGGAGCCATGAATTTACAATGGGAAATGACAGCCTCTTCAACAACTGGTGTTGCAAAACTGGACAGCTATGTGTAAGAGAAACTGGATTATTGTGTAACTCCATACCCAAAAGTAAACTCAAAATGGATCAAAGACCTGAATGTAAGTCATGAAACCATAAAACTCTTAGAAGAAAACATTGGCAAAAATCTCTTGAATATAAACATGAGCAACTTTTTCCTGAATGCATCTCCTTGGGCAAGGGAAACAAAAGCAAAAATGAACACATGGGACTACATCAAACTAAAAAGCTTCTGTACAGCAAAGGACACCATCAATAGAACAAAAAGGCATCCTACAGTATGGGAGAATATATTTGTAAATGACATATCCAACAAGGGGTTAACATCCAAAA